ATTTAATTACACGAGGACATCATCCCTGGTAACGATTTGCCGAATAACAACCGTGGTTCTTACGGAACTTGAGATTTTGAAACTTTTCATACATTACAGCCCAACAAACTTAACAAAATGTTTGGCATTGCCAAATACCCATAATTAAATTATCATAATGACATAAGGCATTGAAAGGAGATCAAGGTGAGATATACTAGGAATGTCTACGGCACTGCATCCCAGGTACCTACTAGCCAAATATAAAACTTGTGTCTCGGACATTGCCTAAAAGTTAGCGGACAGACGCTACGTCATCGCATATGTTCATGTGCTCTTTGTGTGGGCTAGCTAAATGATTCATATGTCAAAATGGTCGGCTGGTAAATGATTTAAGACTCATCATCTTGGCCATTCTGGATTTCAGACCACACTGAAAAATGACAACACTTGGGTCTGCTTTATCTCGGATCATTCTTGGCAAGCATCAAATTAACTATTTCACACTTTTCAAAATGGTTGTCAGGATATTTGAAATAAATAGCAAAAGAATTGAGCTATTTGAATAATTAACTGTAAAGGAGAAATAACCTTTCAAAAACGATAGATCAATAATGCACCATGGAATGCATGTAGTATTGCACTATTGAAACCAAGGGGAATAACTCTTTTAATTATAGTGAAATATTCAGGACCCACCCATAACTCCAATAATTATGATGGGATACCAATTGTTCAGTGGCGGATCCAGATACCGATCTGGGGGGGTTTCCAAATTTCCTGGGGGGGTTTCCATGTGGGGAAAAATTGAGGAAAATGGTGAAAATACATGATTTTTAAAGAAAATTCTCAGGGTGGGGGGGGTTCCTGAAGCCCAGAAAACCCCTCTGGATCCGCCACTGATTGTTGGCCATTGTATGGTATCAAACCCTCCTATGAAGTTTGAATTTAATCTGTCGATTTTTATTAAAGATATCGGGCAGACACCACTTTGGAAAGTGGATCAAGGGCCCTAACTCCGCAAGCTACTGTTGGATACTGGTGGTAATCAAAACTTGTCTGAGCTTTTATGGTAATGAGCCTTCTTATGAAGTTTGAATTGAATCTGTTGAAAATTAATGAAGATATGGAGCAGACATTGTTTCTGAGAGTGGATAAAGGGCCCTAACTCAGTAAGTCATAGTCGAATATGAACCTTCTGATGATGTTCGAATTGAATCTGTCGAAAATTAATGAAGATATGGAGCAGACACCAAGTGCACCCACCCACCAGCCGTGACAAGATAATACTTCCTGTTCGACATATAAAAAAATGACCGATTCAATTATTTATCTGTACTTATACCGTCCCATAACAGGACATGCATGACGAAAAATGAAGAAATGGATTTTTCAATATTTTATTGCTTTTCATGGCATGACTGAACATCGACCCTTAATGTACATGACAACAAGACAGAACACGAATGGCCAGGGCTGTTCACTCATAACAACCATCCTCCGACTACACGTCAACCTCCTTTCTCACTCACTATCAACTCTACAACTTGATTCAGGTACTAAGGGCTGAAGCATGTCTATCCAATGGTCAGTTTTGTACACAGAGTTCCTACACTGGGACATTGTCACTCCAGTATAGCCACATTAATGGCTTAAACTGAGCAGTCATCACTACACATATTACGGTGGGCCGTCTCGTAACTTATCACACTGGTGGGCTGCCTCAAAACAAGTGGTCCATGGACCTGAACTGCTCACCTGGTTATATATCAATACATGTGAACTTCAGCCAGTACGTCCGAGAAATTTGACCTTTCACTTTCCATCTTGGAAAGCTACAGACCAAATGTGCCCCTAGCACTGGCCGACCTATATTAACCTTTTGTAGTTTTTATACATGAATACTGTGCCTTAATTGGGTCTAGTCAGATATTTGTTCGATAACTTGATAACACTTTTTTCCAGAAAGCTAAAGGCCAAATATCACGACTCATCATTATATAGATAGTTTCTTTGAATTTTTGAACACCTTGGACACCTGTGACCTCGAAAAAGGGTCAAGGTTATACATTTCAACTTTGACATGTCTTCCATCAATACAAACTACATGCTTAATATCTAGACACTTGTCCTTTTTGTTCAGTAGAAGAAGTTGTTAACAAGATAAGTTATGACGAATGGATCATGCTCCCACTTAAGCTCACAGGCAAAATGAGCTTAAACTATATTTTCAGACATTTGATCCTATATTGTTCTGAATCAAAATATATTGCTCACTTACCAAAAATCTTGTAAACAAACATTGATCATTTTACTCGCCTACAAGCAAACACAACTCAAATACCGCCCAGTCTGTTTCCACTGCCAGAGCTACAAGGAGGCACGAGGTAGATAAACTTATCACTTACCCCTTGTATCCACAACCTTACACCTGCCCTCTACTAGCTTGTGACTTCCACATAATGTTGGTCAAATTTCAACAGATAAGACAATGCTTGGTACTAATTATGATGCACAAAACAAGATAAAAAAGCAACACAATTAGAAATTTGAAAAAAAATGAATTTTCTTGTGTATATAGCACTATCCTGACAAAAGATTTTGTTGAGTTAGATATTTTAAGAATATCTCCGTGCACAATAGCTTCCAACCTAGTTGTCAATATTTTAGTATCTGAGGAAGTACATATCTGTAGGTACAAATTGGGTACTGTATCCAGTTCATAAAAAAACATCAGGATTCTGGTATGCATGATTTCTCTTGTTGTAGCTCCAAATCCTTAATTCATAAATTACAAAAATATATTTACTATATATATGATGCTACAGTTGACAATTTACTAGAGATAAATTAGAACCTGCTATTACATCACCTGCACAAAAAGGAGCCAACACAAGCACATCAATAACAAATTCAACAAGACAGTTTGGCAGTGGATCAACATTCAACATGAACAGCTTACCAGTATTTTAATCAAAATATATTGGCCGAGGCGATTCTGTTGTACCACCTGTAATCGTTGACAGACCAAGCATCGAGTCATACATGCTTGTACATACCACAATCTTCATCTAATGTTCGATCTAATCCAATCACACAGATCACTAAATATCACAATCAACAGTTTTACGGAAGGGGGATACGTACAGGTTTTGAACCATCAAGATATTACATACGGCAAGTAGTACCAAATAAATACCTAAACGTAACATCTCGGTTAACAGCAAGAACCAGCAGAATGTCCTACAAATCACATACATTCCCTTATATTTGAGACAAGTATCGATCTGGAATTCAATATTTTGAGAATGACTAAAAGATGCACATCAGCAAGAGCTACACAAATCTGGTCCATGTTCCTAAATTTGAGTTGTGATGAAGCATAATAAGGATAGAAATAATTGACGTAATTAAAACAAGAGGATTCAAATACAAGATGCAACACAAAACAAGGTCTATTTTTGTTTCAGGTTCGCACAGATTTGTAACTAAGGACACTACCACTAATCACAAGGAATGCTCAAGTATGACGAATACCTAAAACTATAAAAACAGCACTCATTACATGGGCGCGCTTCAACTACGGCAACAACAGTACATCTTCAGTTAGGGCACCAACTCTACAAGATGTTTCCAGCCACAGCAACCACAGTATATCAATGCTTCAACAACCACACCAAAAGTAAATAGGCACCTCAGCATCAGTACCAAGTACAGAAGTGCAATAAAATTATGCACGGGCCAATTTCGTTTATAGTGATTGAAACTGTTGGACCAGAGTGGTTGGTTTATGAAATAAGGTCAGACCTAGTAATCCGATGCTGCTTTCAGGTGAGCCTTTACAGGCCAAAGGTCTTCGTCTACAGTACCAACAGTATATAAGGTCTCTGTCTACAGTATCATCAGTACACAAGGTCTGTCTACAGTATCATCAGTACACAAGGTCTGTCTACAGTAACATCAGTACACAAGGTTTCTGTCTACAGTATCATCAGTACACAAGGTCTCTGTCTACAGTATCATCAGTACACAAGGTCTCTGTCTACAGTACCATCAGTACATAAGGTCTCTGTCTACAGTATCATCAGTACACAAGGTCTCTGTCTACAGTACCATCAGTACATAAGGTCTCTGTCTACAGTATCATCAGTACACAAGGTCTCTGTCTACAGTACCATCAGTACATAAGGTCTCTGTCTACAGTATCATCAGTACACAAGGTCTCTGTCTACAGTACCATCAGTACATAAGGTCTCTGTCTACAGTATCATCAGTACACAAGGTCTCTGTCTACAGTACCATCAGTACATAAGGTCTCTGTCTACAGTATCATCAGTACACAAGGTCTCTGTCTACAGTACCATCAGTACATAAGGTCTCTGTCTACAGTACCAACAGAACACAAGGTCTGTGTCTACAGTATCAACAGGACACAATGTCCGTCTACAGTACCAACAGTAAACAAGGTCTGTCTACAGTACCGACAGTACATAAGGTCTGTCAACAGTACCAACAGTAAACAAGCTCTGTCTACAGTCCCAACAGTACATAAGATCTCTGTCTATGGTACCAACAGGACATAAGGGCTGTCTACAGTACCAGCAGAACACAAGGTCTGTTGACAGTACCAAAAGTACATAAGGTCTCTATCTACAGTAGCAACAGTACACAAGGTACTGTAGACAGAACTTATGTACCATTGGTACTGTAGACAAACCTTGTGTACTGTTTGTTCTGTAGACAGAGACCTAAAGTGCTGTTGGTACTGTAGCCAGAGACCTTATGTACAGTTGATACTGAAGACAGACCTTGTGTACTGTTTGTACTGGAGACAGATGCCTTATGTACTGTTTGTACTGTAGACAGATACCTTATGTACTGTTTATACTGTAGACAGAGATCTTGTGTTCTGTTGGCACTGTAGACAGACCTTGTGCTCTGTTGGTACTGTAGCCAGAGACCTTATGTACAGTTGATACTGTAGACCGAGACCTTGTGTTCTGCTGGTACTGTAGACAGTACATAAGGTCTCTGTCTACAGTACAAACAGTACATAAGGCATCTGTCTACAGTACAAACAGTACACAAGGTCTCTGTCTACAGTACCAACAGTACATAAGGTCTCTGTCTACGGTACCAACAGCACATTAGGTCTCTGTCTACAGTACAAACAGTACATAAGGTCTGTCTACAGTACCAACAGTACACAAGGTCTGTCTACAGTACACAAGGTCTGTCTACAGTACAAACAGTACATAAGGTCTGTCTACAGTGCCAACAGTACATAAGGTCTGTCTACAGTACCATCAGTACATAAGGTCTGTCTACAGTACCAACAGTACACAAGGTTTGTCTACAGTATCAACAGTACATAAGGTCTGTCGACAGTACCAACAGTACACAAGATCTGTCAACAGTACATAAGCTCTGTCTAAACTACAAACAGTACATAAGGTCTGTCTACAATACCAACAGTACATAAGGTCTCTGTATACGGTACCAACAGCACATTAGGTCTGTCTACAGTACCAACACTACACAAGGTCTGTCTACAGTTCCAACAGTACATAAGGTCTGTATACAGTACAAACAGTACATAAGATCTGTCTACAGTACCAACAGAACACAAGGGCTGTTTACAGTACCAAAAGTACAAAAGGTCTGTCTACAGTACCAAAAGTACACAAGGTCTCTGTCTACATTACCAACAGTACACAAGGTCTGTGTCTACAGTACCAATGGTACATAAGGTCTGTCTACAGGACCATCAGTACATAAGGTCTGTCTACAATACCAACAGTACATAAGGTCTCTCTACAGTATCAACAGTACATAAGGTCTGTCTTCAGGCCCAACAGTACACAAGGTCTCTCTACAGTACATAAGGTCTCTGTCTATGGTACCAACAGTACATAAGGTCGCTGTCTACAGTACCAACAGTACACCCGATCTGTCAACAGTACATAAGCTCTGCCTAAAGTACAAACAGTACATAAGGTCTCTGTCTTCGGTACCAACAGCACATTAGGTCTCTGTCTACAGTACAAACAGAACACAAGGTCTGTTTACAGTACCAAAAGGACATAAGGTCTGTCTACAGTACCCACAGTACACAAGGTCTCTGTCTAAAGTACCATCAGTACATAAGGTCTCTTTCTACAGTACCAACAGAACACAAGGTCTGCCTACAGTACCAACAGTACATAAGGTCTGTCTTCAGTACCAAAAGTACACAAGGTCTCTGTCTACGGTACCAACAGCACATTAGGTCTCTGTCTACAGTACAAACAGTACACAAGGTCTGTCTAACACAAGGTCTGTCTACAGTAACATCAGTACACAAGGTTTCTGTCTACAGTATCATCAGTACATAAGGTCTCTGTCTTCGGTACCAACAGCACATTAGGTCTCTGTCTACAGTACAAACAGTACATAAGATCTGTCTACAGTGCCAACAGTACATAAGGTCTGTCGACAGTACCATCAGTACATAAGGACTCTGTCTACGGTAGCAACAGTACATAAGGTCTGTCTACAGTCCCATCAGTACATAAGGTCTCTGTCTGCAGTACCAACAGTACATAAGGACTGTCTACAGTACCATCAGTACATAATGTCTGTCTACAGTATCAACAGCACATAAGGTCTCTGTCTACAGTATCATCAGTACACAAGGTCTCTGTCTAAAGTACCATCAGTACATAAGGTATCTGTCTACGGTACCAACAGCACATTAGGTCTGTCTACAGTACCAACACTACACAAGGTCTGTCTACAGTACATAAGCTCTGTCTACAGTACCAACAGAACACAAGGACTGTTTACAGTACCAAAAGTACAAAAGGTCTGTCTACAGTACCAACACTACACAAGGTCTGTCTACAGTATCATCAGTACATAAGGTCTCTGTCTTCGGTACCAACAGCACATTAGGTCTCTGTCTACAAGTGCCAACAGTACATAAGGTCTCTCTCTACAGTACCAACAGTACACAGGGTCTCTGTCTACAGTACCAAAAGTACACAAGGTCTCTGTCTACGGTACCAACAGAACATAAGGACTGTCTACAGTACCAACAGTAAACAAGGTCTGTCTACAGTACCAAAAGTACACAAGGTCTGTCTACAGTTCCAACAGTACACAAGGTTTGTGTACAGTACCAACAGTACATAAGGACTCTGTCTACAGTACCGACAGAACACAAGGTCTGTTTACAGTACCAAAAGGACATAAGGTCTGTCTACAGTGCCAACAGTACATAAGGTCTGTCGACAGTACCATCAGTACATAAGGACTCTGTCTACAGTACCAACAGGACACAAGGTTTGTCTACAGTATCAACTTTACATAAGGTCTCTGTCTACAATATCATCAGTACACAAGGTCTGTATACAGTATCATCAGTACACAAGGTCTCTGTCTACAGTATCACAGTACCATCAGTACATAAGGCCTCTGTCTACAGTACCAACAGGACATAAGGTCTCTGTCTACAGCACCAACAGTACACAAGGCCTGTCTACAGTACATAAGGACTGTCTACAGTACCATCAGTACAAAAGGTCTGTCTACAGTACCAACAGGACACAAGGTTTGTCTACAGTATAAACTGTACATAAGGTCTGTCTACAGGACCAACAGTACATAAGGTCTCAGTCTACAGTACCAACAGTACACCCGATCTGTCAACAGTACATAAGCTATGTCTAAAGTACAAACAGTACATACGGTCTCTGTCTACAGTACCAAGAGGACACAAGGTCTGTCTACAGTATCAACAGTCCATAAGGTCTGTCTACAGTATCAACACTACATAAGGTCTCTGTCTACAGTATCACAGTACCATCAGTACATAAGGCCTCTGTCTACAGTACCAACACTACACAAGGACTGTCTACAGTACACAAGGTCTGCCTACAGTACAAACAGTACATAAGGTCTCTGTGTACAGCACCAACAGTACACAAGGCCTGTCTACAGTACATAAGGACTGTCTACAGTACCAACAGTTCATAAGTTCTGTCTACAGTATCAACAGTCCATAAGGTCTGTCTACAGTATCAACTGTACACAAGGTCTGTCTACAGAATCATCAGAACACAAGGTCTGTCTACAGTAACAACAGTACATAAGGTCTGTCGACAGTACCATCAGTACATAAGGTATCTGTCTACGGTACCAACAGCACATTAGGTCTGTCTACAGTACCAACAGGTCATCAGTACATAAGGTCTCTGTCTTCGGTACCAACAGCACATTAGGTCTGTCTACAGTACCAACAGTGCACAAGGTCTCTGTCTACAGTTCCATCAGTACATAAGGTCTCTGTCTACCGTACCCACAGTACATAAGGTCTCTGTCTATGGTACCAACAGTACATAAGGTCGCTGTCTACAGTACCAACAGTAGATAAGGTCTCTGTCTACAGTACCTTCAGTACATAAGGTCTCTGTCTCCAGTATCACCAGTACACAAGGTCTGTCTACGGTACCAACAGTACACAAGGTCTCTGTCTACAGTACCAACAGTACATAAGGTATCTGTCTACAGTACCAACAGTACATAAGGTCTCTGTCTACAGTACCAACAGTACACAAGGTCTGTCTACAGTACATAAGGTCTGTCTACAGTACCAACAGTTCATAAGGTCTGTCTACAGTATCAACAGTACATAAGGTCTGTCTACAGTATCAACAGTACACAAGGTCTGTCTACAGTACATAAGGTCTCTGTCTACAGTACCAACAGTACATAAGGTCTCTGTCTACAGTACCATCAGTGGATCTTTGTCTATGGTACCAACAATACAAAAGGTCTAACTGCAGAAACAGTAGATGCATAAGGTCTATTAGTGCATTTGTGATTTATCAATGGCACCAATGTACGAAAGCACTTAAACTATGGCTCTTACAGTACACTGTGGCTTAAGCTGAGGCACAAACAGCACAAGGTCACTTCAGTAGCATCACCAACCGTACATAGGTGCTTAGACTAGGGCCTCGCCAGTACATGGTAGCTAGCTGTGGCACTAACAGTACATAGGTGCTTAGACTAGGGCCTCACCAGTATATGGTAGCTAGCTGTGGCACTAACAGAACATAGGTGCTTCAACTAGGGCCTCACCAGTATATGGTAGCTAGCTGTGGCACTAACAGTACATAGGTGCTTAGACTAGGGCCTCACCAGTATACGGTAGCTAGCTGTGGCACTAACAGTACATAGGTGCTTCAACAAGGGCCTCACCAGTATATGGTAGCTAGCTGTGGCACTAACAGTACATAGGTGCTTAGACTAGGGCATCACCAGTATATGGTAGCTAGCTGTGGCCCGCACAGTACATAGGTGCTTAGACTAGGGCCTCACCAGTATACGGTAGCTAGCTGTGGCACTAACAGTACATAGGTGCTTAGACTAGGGCATCACCAGTATATGGTAGCTAGCTGTTGCCCCAACAGTACATAGGTACTACAGCACCAAAGTACATGGTTGTTGGAACAACAACAGAAGCAGTACATGTGTGCTGCCAGGACACCAGTCCTTTAGCTATAACACATTAACAGTTAATTGCACCAGCTGGACTAAATCAAGTCCTTATTCCCCTTTTAAAGGTTCACACAGCGTTTCAGACAGTTGTTTCAAGAAAACAGTACCAAGCAAAACATTTTTAATACATACATTACTTTAATTAACATGTATAAAACAATCATGTCCAATAACCCAATGGTCCCCCACCCACATCAGCCCACTTGGCCATACATACCTGACAACATCAGACTTACAATGTCGGGAATGATCATAACAAGTTCCAGCAACAGCATGCATAACTTTCATTCTAAATAACAAGAACAATTGTGTACCCACACACTCTCACCATGGCAATTCATGTTTTATACACGGACACTTGTCTTCGATCAAACAACTTCATTCTGGGCCAATAACAAGTAAATGGTAAATGTAATGGGATACCTCATAATTTGGTGGTACAGCCTTTCAAGCTTCAGCGAACTTATGATGTTTGTCCGATAACTAGTCAATATCATCAGGTCAAGATTTTCTGACGAGGTTTTCTACATCACTCACCCATTTGCCATCCATACAAACTTGCACTACTCACACTGGTACAACTTAAAGACAATGTGTATTTGGGACTGCAGGCAAAGATGTTTACACCGATTCCAGGGAATAATCTAGCTCCCATATTTAGGGGGAAATTTAGCTGGGATTCTTGTTTCAATCATAGATGTTCAATATTTTAACAGATTTTTGATTGCTAGTTTGCTTGGTATCAAAATTACTGATACTGCAGTAAAAAAAGTATTACATAGAGCATAGATTAAACCCCACCACTTCATATAAATATTTTTATTTAATGCTTACAAACAAGAAATTATAATGAAAATAAATACTGAAGTTTCTCAATTCCTTGATATACACCTACAAAAACTACCAGCTTGACTGTATTGTTTTGTAATAATTTCATTTTTCACATTATGTTAAGGCAGACAAACAAAGTTAGCACTTAATGACGGTTCTCAAGAGTAAATTTATAAAAAATCTTCCTTTCAATAACTCAACAAAGCACTATAAGCAGACTTTCATCTCCTTGTGGAAAACTGAACACATCTCGACTTGTAAATAATACAATCCCATGCTCCTTTAGCACCATCAGCCAACATAACAATACAAGTCCTTCACTGACCCTCGAAGGGAAAACTCCATCATACGCATTCTCAAATGATCAGATATTTGTTTTATTTCTTTTCAAACTAAGTGGACAATTTTCATTTGGAATTTTATCAATTTACTTCTTATAAAAAGGACTATCAACTGAAAGTGACCAAACAATTATTAAATAATAACAAATATAAATCACAGAAGAATCCTTGTAAACAAAATTACAATATTGGCAACAAAACAGAATTCAAAGTAGCACTTATCTTATCAAGGCATATCTTCATTATTCACGATATCAATCCATTAATGTACCTTTACCGCTTCAGAACTGATCTTATCCTGGTCTTATAAAACCATTCTCACAGAATTTAGCTTAAAAATAAATATTCTCTCCTTGAAAAGAAATTTATACATCCCCTTGAAATGAAAGTACAATGAAATTTTACAATAGCGAGTATTTTCAAAGCAATTACTGTACATGACGGATTATACAACACCGCGTCTATAGCCTAATGAGGGTACGTAAGAGGTGGTCCTTCAACATAAAGAAGAAATTTTCCTGAGGTGTTCATATAGCATCAACAAAATTATGAAATTTTCAAGGTAAAATGTACAAAACCTGTAAATAATAATGAATACCAAACTGAATCCAGAAACTTCTGTTGGATCATCATGCCAGAGAATAGAGATTACTGTACTTAAGGTAAACAGTTATCTTTGGTGAAGTTTTTAAACATTACTCCCCCCACACACCCCCCCAAAAAAAAACCTATGAAGACTTTTGAGATATAGCAATCAGTAAATAGCAAAAAAAAATAAAAAAAATTGAATGAGTATTACAAAATATCTGCACTATATATACTGCAATTGATTCTAGAAAAGTTCACAAAATAAACAAAAACAACAATTTCATATTTTTTATAACTAAAATCAATGCTGAGAATGAAGATTGAGTACCAATTACTTCAGATGTGTGAAACCATTTAAAGTAAATGCAATAGACCTATCATACAGTTCAATTGTATGTACTCGGAACAGCTTCCAAACACATGCAAAGCAACCATGCAGAACAAATTGGGAAAGTCCTTGCTTCCATACACAATATTTACTGCACACAAAACTAATTTGCACCAAACAACGATAACCAATTATGCAAACAGTATTGCCACATCTGTTCATGGTGGATACGATCAAGACTTTAACAAGCTCTCTCCACCGACCAGCGGAATTTTAACATTGCAGTCCTCTCACCACACAAACACACACACTCCCTGTGACCTGATAACAGTGTGCACCGGGGTCTCAATCATTTACACACAGCTGAACCTTAGTAGTCTGGGAATTGATATCTCTACACGCCTTAACCTAATTCTTCTTCCAAATTTAACAGTTGTAAAAGGCGTCCTTTGGAGAACATATCGGTAAGTGAAAAAATTATTTACAATATATCTCTAAACCTTGATTGTCACTAATTAAAATTGTAATTAACTATAGTCACAATTACATGATAGGGGCATTTTCTGTGCAATAGAGTTTTGATAATTTTTTCAGAGAGATTACAAAGGAAATATTCCCCGAGACAGTATTACTGACAACTTACGATAATATATCTGCTAAGCAAACAGTATTACCAACAACTTTAGATGATATCTGCTAAGTAGTCTACGTGCACAAGTGAGGCAAGACTTGGTCGAAATTCCTGGTTTTGACTGTCTATTTGTTCAACTGTATATCAATGTCACAATACTAGTCATACATCACAAAATATATGCCCTGCACAAACATGACATGAATTTGTTCATGTGTACTATCATTCTGCATCCTTGTTCTTGCTGGTCAATACAGTCAACCACTTGCTGTAGCGAGGAGACTGTGACGGGCCTCTGGGAACCAACACGAGCTCAGCACATATTATTGCTAGTCTTTACTCTGGAAGATGTACAAGTTATTGGTGGCGGCCACAGCCAGAATGTTTTCGTTGGGATGCCAAGCAGTATGCAGGATTTTCTTGTTGAAGTCCAGACAGTCGACACTGATCTCTTCCTTCTTGCGTTTGCCACCTGTACACACTTTGCGTGGCTTCAGCACTGTACGAGGTTTCATGTTCTCTCTGCTTGCCTCTAGTGTCGTGTCACGCTTGGATTCACGGTCAAACATTCTATAGAAGTTGTTGTAGGAGCCCGTCATAATGTGCCTATAAGAAAAAGAAAAGGATGGAATTTACTGGTAGCCATTCACAATCTGAATTCAGACATAATTTTCTAGTTAATTGGTATCATAAATCCACAAGATCATATCAGAGACGGTATGTTAACAACAAGTCACAAAACACAAGCCAATATCTAGATCATATCTTCCAAAAAGATAATCAAGAGTTTGGAAATATGTAACATCAAAATTTTACATCATACCATGGATGTTTTAAATGCATCACAACATTTCAAGACCAACTGGTCCCTTGGTCAAGCTACGACTCCGTAGCTCGAGAGAGAGGGACCAATCAGTCCTGAAACGTGACCTTTCAGTCTTGTAAAGAAATCAATAATTTAAGATCGTATTGTGCGGATTCAAAAAAGTAAACAATGACCAGTTGAAAGAGAATTGTACTTTTTAAACATGTACGGATTTTGCTCAATATCAAAGTAAAGCTTAGTACTTGGTATTTTTGTAGATGATAAATCAAAATTTCAATGATTCATGCATTTATTACATGGAAACAAAAAATTGGCGGTGTAAACAGAGAAAAGTGGCCATACCATAACATGTCCAATTAAACAGTAGCATTAAATGGCCAGTGTAAATACACTTAAGACAACACTACATTTTTTACCTGTCGTCGCCACTCCATGAACACTCAAACTTGTCAAAGATGCAGTCATTTTCGTATAGAGAGCATAATTTGCTGCGCAGGTATTCATGCACCTGGTAGGTTTCTATAGGTTTTGTGTCCATATGTAAATCCCAAACTTTCACAGACAAGTAATCTCTTGTCACCATGTAACGTCCATTATGACTAAATTTTACATCTGATATACTGGAAATAATTTCAGAAAAGAAACTCCTATTGGTGGGATCTTCCGGCTCCTCAAACACTGCAAGAAGAAAGCATTTTTGTTATCATAAATTTGAACATTGTACCTAATAATTGCATATTTAGGAACATCAGAACCACAAAAACACAAAAAGCACTTATTCTTGTCAAAAGCAGACATTATGGTGCGGTGCGTTTTAAAGGAAGCTTCAAGGATGTAATCATTGTGTGATGCTGTCTGCTACATCATCAAGCTGCTACGGTGTTGACACATGCAGGTTAATTTCAAAGTTAATTTTAGTTTATGAATTATATTGTTTAAGTGACTATATGATATTTATCATACACAGTAGTTTCATTATGAAAATATAAAATATAGATTGTTTAGTTGTCTATAGTAATGTTACAAGGTATGTTTATATTATATACCTGTAGGTTAATTAGACATGCGAGGAAACATAAAATGCAAAAACAAATTTACAAGATTTGTATATTGTAAATTTTATCTTGTTCATGTTTCCTATTTTTGACATCTAAAACAGTCATCAATGTTTTCTACTTTGCAGCCATATGTATCATGATTGTTTTAAGAGAGAAGACAAATTTAAAGTTTGATAACTTTTGTCTAATCCCTTTTGTGTTTTTGCAAATAAAATATATTTAAATCAAACAAAAATATCAATTTCACATTTGAAATTAAAAGCCAACACCCCAAAAGTCAGGTTTGACTTTCAACTCTTACAATTAGGCTAGAGGTGGAACTTACATCGACACTACCATACCCTTGTATAAATATCAACTTAATCTGATCAGGGGTTAGTAATATATATCTTTAAATCAAGATTTTTTTACTTCAACAAAAGGGGTCAAGTTTGAGCTCTGACCCTTTCATCTTGTCTGATGTTCCCATGACAACCAAAATTTGATCAAATGTAGAACTTGAAGAAACCATAGGTGTCAATCTTAAATTTATCCATTTAGGGCTTCATGTGATATCTTGTACACAACCATTTTACCAGACACATGGACTAACGCATCGACAAAGTGATTACTATTAATCATTTGTACTACCTTAACCCTTTCAACCCTATGAAACTTTAATAGACTCTACCATGCATTGATCTGGATAAGTCCATTATGGTCTACAGTGGTGAAAGGGTTAACCTACAGGTGGGCATAATAATGAAATTTAATATCTGCTTGAATTCCAATATAACAGCCAGCTTGGTGTTGGCGAAAACATCCAACACAATTTTTAACAGGATTTTTGGTCTGTTTTTTGGTAAAGAAGAGATCAGTTTTCTGATACTTACATTTGGCATGTTTGTCACACAAAGCTTGTTGGCGCATATCACAAAGTCTAATTGTCCCTTTACTACTACTATACACAAATAAGTTACAGTCCAGAGGGTGAAACTCGGCTGCCGTGATGACCTCGGTCAACTCCTCCATGTTCGCTGGCTTGATGTCAACGATGTCTTGTGGTGGTCAAGGAAATTTGATAAATATTTTCTGACATTCTTTTTTTGAAAAGAAACTGCTACACAATAACCATAATGCACAATCGACAAATTTTAACATAACATCAAGGACAGGTCAGTATTGTACTTAATATGTATATACCATAGCTGCCGTGACACAAGCACGAGACGGAGCCTCCAACTCTAGCATGCGAAGATACTTTGAAACAGGAGGTTCAGCCAACATTTTAAGTAATGAACAACATAATTTTTTGCACCTTTTCCTTGTTAAAGAATACGGAAAACTACATAAAAGATGTTCCTCTAGTTATTAAATGAAGTTGTCATTCTGAAAAAAATGTCTGCAAAGTCCGGGGCTGATTAGTTCACATGGAAGACCCAGCACGAATAACCTTACATTTTGATGTTCCTGTTTTTATCTATATACTGATACTACAAAAGTCAACAGTACAAATGTCTGGACAGGATTTCAATGAATCTGTATAATGGAGGTGGGTATTGCAACTAATTTTCTCATTTCAAACTTACTGCAATACTGCAATTTATTGTATTCAGAAAAAAATCTGTGCATTTCAATAATTTTATATGGAAAATAGCAAATGTGAGTTAAGTTTCGTGTGCTCAAGTGATAAATTAATAAAATCAAAGCAAGCGCCACTGAATGGAGACTCACAAAAATATACCTCCCCCACCCCACCCCCGTTGATCATTAACCTTGATATCAACCCCCAAATCAGGCGGAGAAGTTTATATCATCATACCAAAGCAGAAAGTGAATTAAATATGTTTTAGGACTAATAAGATGTCTTGTTCACAATTTATTTTACGAAAGGATGGACATACAAAGTCACAACCAAAACAATTTGTCCGCAAAGTCCGGGGCTGGTTTGTTCACATGGAAGACCCAGCACGAATAACCTTACATTTTGATGTTCCTGTTTTTATCTATATACTGATACTACAAAAGTCAACAGTACAAATGTCTGGACAGGATTTCAATGAATCTATAATTAAGGTGGGTATTGGAAGTAATTTTTATATTTCAATTTTAGGGAATACTGCAGTGCATTATATTTCAAGAAATTATGTGCATTTTTTCAACTATTTTATATGGAAAATAGAAACTGGGAGGTAGTTCAGTTTGCTCCAGTGGTAAGTTGAAAATTACTTTATATATAAATCAAAGCGATTGCCATTGAGTCTCAAATATTAACTTTGTCTGTGACCTTTAATTTGGCCCTTGAATCTTGATTGTTGACCACCAAAATCTATTAAACCTTGTGTAGAGTTCAATATTACCATACCACGGCACAAAATAAATTTAATATGTTCTTGGGTTCACGATTTAACGAAGGATTGACATACAAAAAATGCCACCAAAACAATTTGTCCTTACATTTTGATGTTCCTGTTTTTATCTATATACCGATACTACAAAAGTCAACAGTACAAATGTCTGGACAGGATTTCAATGAATCTATAATTAAGGTGGGTATTGGAAGTAATTTTTATATTTCAATTTTAGGGAATACTGCAGTGTATTATATTTCAAGAAATTATGTGCATTTTTTCAACTATTTAATATGGAAAATAGAAAATGGGAGGTAGTTCAGTTTGCTCCAGTGGTAAGTTGAAAATCACTTTATATAAATCAAAGCGATTGCCATTGAGTCTCAAATATTAACTTTGTCTGTGACCTTTAATTTGGCCCTTGAATCTTGATTGTTGACCACCAAAATCTATTAAACCTTGTGTAGAGCTCAATATTACCATACCAACGCACAAAGTAAATTAAATATGTTCTTGGGTTCACGATTTAACGAAGGATTGACATACAAAAAATGCCACCAAAACAATTTGTCCGCAAAGTCCGGGGCTGGTTTGTTCACATGGAAGACCCAGCACGAATAACCTTACATTTTGATGTTCCTGTTTTTATCTATATACTGATACTACAAAAGTCAACAGTACAAATGTCTGGACAGGACTTCAATTAATCTGTATAATGAAGGTGGGTATTGCCAGTAATTTTCATATTTAAAACTTACTGCAATATATTTTATTCAGAAAAAAATCTGTGCATTTCAATAATTTTATATGGAAAATAGCAAATGTGAGTTAAGTTTCGTGTGCTCCAGTGGTAAATTTATAAAATCATAGCAAGTGCCACTGAATGGAGGCTCACATAAATATAAACACACCCCTCCTTTACCTTCGATAATTTAATAACTTTGATTATCAACCCCAAATCAGGTGTAGAACTTCATATCATCATACCACAGCACAAAGTGAATTAAATATGTTCTAGGACTAATAAGATGTCTTGTTCTCAATTTATTTTTACGAAGGACGGACATACAGTCACGCCCAAAACAATTTGTCCGCAAAGTCCGGGGCTGGTTAGTTCACATGGAACACCCAGCACGAATAACCTAACATTTTGATGTTCCTATTTTTATCTATATACTGATACTACAAAAGTCAAAAGTACAAATGTCTAGACAGGATTTCAATGAATCTGTATATTGCAAGTAATTTTCATATTTTAAATTTAGGGAATACCGCAGTGTATTATATTTCAAGCAATTATGTGCATTTTTCAACTATTTTATATGGAAAATAGAAAATGTGAGGTAGTTCAACTTGCTCAAGTGGTGAGTTGAAAATCATTTTATATAAATCAAAGTGATTGCCACTGAGTGATGGCTCACATAGATATACCCCTCCTCGATAATAAACTTTGTCTGTGATATTTAATTTGGTCCTTGAATCTTGATTGTTGACCACCAAAATCTATTAAACCTGGTGTAGAGCTTAATATTACCATACTACTGCACAAAGTGAAACAAATATGTTCTGGGGTTCACGAGTTGTCTTGTAAACAGTAATTTTACGAAGAATTGACATACAAAAATCACGACCAAAACAATTTGTCCGCAAAGTCCGGGGCTGGTTAGTTCACATGGAAGACCCAGCACGAATAACCTTACATTTTGATGTTCCTGTTTTTATCTATATACTGATACTACAAAAGTCAACAGTACAAATGTCTGGACAGGACTATAATCAAGAATAGTCTATTGTGCAAAAAAACCAGTTGAATTTATCACAGAACTATGAAAGTAACTGACTTCCTATCAATAGGAAATGGGGCAAAGCATTGCATGTGCAAGTTAAGTACATTTTCAATTCAAAAATTGATAACATTTTTATTTTTTAAAACCCCATGATGTATCTATCTAAACAAAATGTTTTTTAAAAGCTTGATAGAAACTTGTGTCTTGATCCTTTTTCACACTTCAGATTCAATCAAATATTGTATCAAAATGATATATAAATTTGTATACATCGTAATTAAGGATACTGAAACTCTGGTCAGTCACTTCCAGGTGCCAGAGGTTGATTCTCAAATCATCTGCCGACAGGTAGGTTTCCTGGTCACTGTTAATGGATATGGAGTTGATGTGATAGGTATGAGCATTTGCAAATATTCTACGAGGACTAGCTTCCACCATCAATTCCATAGGCTTAAACATTGGCACCCGTAACGTTGTCACAGTCGAAGGATCTCGCATAATGCCTGCCTCATCCTTCAGGTTGTAGCCTTCGGGCCTCTTGTCTCTTTCAGTAACTTTCCACAGCTTTATAGTTTTATCTGCAACCAACCAATAGTAATTAAACATAAGATTACCAATCCCAACAACTATCTTTAATTCCTAATCTAATATTTACTACAAAAGACCATTTTTCAAGACAAAGACTCTCGGGCCACTAAAGCATTTCTTTTTAAAACTTTCTAACCTATTTGAGTTGGCAATTTTTTTATAAGCATTGTTGGAGTTCTCATCCCTACTTCATTTCAAACGTTTATTCTATATAAAATACTTCAAACCTGCCGCCCCTCTCCACCCTGTAACATGACAAAGCATTTACTGGTTAGAAAGCATTCATTATCAACTATCATAAGCCTATGAATGAGTCCATTAGGACTGCACGTGTTTATGCATTGTTCTCGGATACATTTTTTCACAATAAAATGCAGCCGACAAGATTCTCTGGTCATGGTGAATATGGTACATCTAAATCTTGGTACATCAAATGAGCTTTACTGATCAAGTCATCTTCATGATCTTTACTTTATTCTTCACTTTTGTCAGTGCGCTTATTGATAATCAGGTATCAAGCCATCCTCGCTATCCAGGAGTTACGCTCACATTCGCTCTCTACACCCCTGGAATATGTCATAACAAAATTGAAGGCACCAAGATGGCTGTTTGATTGGTCTCGGGTAAAAAAACCTGACCAATCGCTAGGCTGATACATGTCCTTTGAAAATTACAAAGGATCGACATGTACATCAAAGGATCAAACTAGCCTTCTCATCTCATCCATAAGGCATTGCACACTGAGTCTTTGATTTTGCTATGATATATTCCAGGGGTGCAGAGAGCGAAAGTGAGTGTAACCCCTGGATATTGAGGAGGTGAGTGTAACCCCTGGATATTGAGGCGAGTGTAACCCCTGGATGTTGAGGCGAGTGTAACCCCTGGATATTGAGGAGGCGAGTGTAACCCCTGGATATTGAGGATGCGAGTGTAACCCCTGGATATTGAAGAGGTGAGTGTAACCCCTGGATATTGAGGATGCGAGTGTAACCACTGGATATTGAGGATGCGAGTGTAACCCCTGGATATTGAGGTGAGTGTAACCCCTGGATATTGAAGAGGTGAGTGTAACCCCTGGATATTGAGGATGTGAGTAACCCCTGGATATTGTAGAGGTGAGTGTAACCCCTGGATATTGAGGAGGTGAGTGTGACCCTTGGATATTGAGGAGGTGAGTGTAACCCCTGGATATTGAGGTGAGTGTAACCCCTGGATATTGAGGATGTGTCAAGCAAGGTCATGAGTTGAAATGAACATTTCTTTCAATACAATTTTTTGGTAATGACACATAGTAACTTCCATAAAAGGAAAAGTACAACAGACTCGAATGAACCTTTGAATCATAATAAAACAATTTGTCCGCAAAGTCCGGGGCTGGTTAGTTCACATGGAAGACCCAGCACGAACTACCTTACAATTTGATGTTCCTGTTTTTATCTATATACCGATACTACAAAAGTCAACAGTACAAATGTCTGAACAGGTTTTCAATGAATCGTGATAATGAAAATGGGTATTGAAAGTAATTTTCATATTTCAAACTTACTGCAATATATTTTATTCAGAAAAAAACCTGTGCAATATTTTTTTATGGAAAATAGCAAATGTGAGTTAAATTTCGTGTGCTCCAGTAGTAAATTTATAAAACCAAAGCAAGCGCCACTGAATGGAGGCTCACATAAATATACCCCCCCCCCCCCTTACCTTTGATCATTAGCCTTGATTGTCAACCCCCAAATCAGGTGTACAACTTCATAGCATCATATCACAGCACAAAGTGAATTAAATATGTTCTAGGAGTTATAAGATTTCTTGTGCATAACATTTTTTTTATGAAGGATGGACATACAAAGTCACAACTAAAACAATTTGTCCGCAAAGTCCGGGGCTGGTTTTTTCACATGGAAGACCCAGCACGAATAACCTTACATTTTGATGTTCCTGTTTTTATCTATATACTGATACTACAAAAGTCAACAGTACAAATGTCTGGACAGGATTTCAATGAATCTGTATAATGAAGGTGGGTATTGCAAGTAATGTTCATATTTTAAATTTAGGGAATACTGCAGTTGTATTATATTTCAAGAAACTGCATTTTTCAACTATTTTATATGAAAAATAGAAAATGTGAGGTAGTTCAACTTGCTCCAGTGGTAAGTTGAAAATCATTTCATATAAATCAAAGCAATTGCCACTGAGTGATGACTCACATAGATATACCCCTCCTCAAAAATAAACTTTGTCTGTGACCTTTAATTTGGTCCTTGAATCTTGATTGTTGACCACCGAAATCTATTAAACCTTGTGTAGAGCTCAATATTACCATACCACCGAACAAAGTGAATTAAATATGTTCTGGGGTTCACGAGTTGTCTTGAAACAATAATTTTACGAAGAATTGACATACAAAAATCACGACCAAAACAATTTGTCCGCAAAGTCCGGGGCTGGTTAGATCACATGGAAGACCCAGCAAGAAAAACCTTACATTTTGATGTTCCTGTTTTTATCTATATACCGATACTACAAAAGTCAACAGTTCAAATGTCTGAACAGGTTTTCGATGAATCTAGATAATGAAGGTGGGTATTGAAAGTAATTTTCATATTTCAAATTTAGGGTTAAACTGCAGTGTATTATATCTCAAGAAATTATGTGCATTTTTCAACTATTTTATATGGAAAATAGAAAATTGGAGGTAGTCAGTTTGCTCCAGTGGTAAGTTGAAAATCATTTTATATAAATCTAAGCGATTGCCATCGAGTCTCAAAAATTAACTTTGTCTGTGACCTTTAATTTGGCCCTTGAATCTTGATTGTTGACCACCGAAATCTATTAAACCTTGTGTAGAGCTCAATATTACCATACCACCGCACAAAGTGAATTAAATATGTTCTGGGGTTGACGAGTTGTCTTGAAACAATAATTTTACGAAGGATTGACATACAAAAAATGCCACCAAAACAATTTGTCCGCAAAGTCCGGGGCTGGTTAGTTCACATAGAAGACCCAGCACGAATAACCTTACATTTTGATGTTCCTGTTTTTATCTATATACTGATACTACAAAAGTCAACAGTACAAATGTCTGGACAGGATTTCAATGACACACATGTGGATGAATGCACCAACAGTGTTGGAACTTGACGACAGACCTGTGTAGACAAACATGAAAAACACTTTTGGTCTTTGGAAATCATTAACGACTATTCCTTCCAATGTATGTTATTAACTCACATAATTTCTCAATCTATGCTATCAAGCACTAAGTACATGCAAGTAAAATTTCTTGGGTCAATATATGTTCTTTGAAAATTTCAGTAGATCCATTAAAAATAATCCTCTACATAGAAGAACATTGTAAATTCTAACATTACTGACAAAGCAATCACTCAATAAGTGGGGGATATGAATTTAGAAAATTTCACAACAATGCAAGCTAAATTGGGATAAAATAATTTCACTAGTCAAGACACAATTTCTGTAAGATGATTTATATCATAACAAAACTTAAACCCTCCAAATTTCATTAAACATGTTTGCAATATATTGCTATATTATAATCATATTGCAATATATTATGCCCATTCCTACTCTAAAACAAGGGCTTAATTTCTATTTGATCAGACAGATATTTTTTGTCATTTATTAATTACCTTTGATTGCAAATACTTTCTTTTTGAAACATTTCTTTACATTTCTAACATTTACTAGGTTATTTACACACCATTAGTAGAGAGTAGAAAATTAGCAGGATTGGTCCTCTTCATCCAAAGAATCTTGTTAATTTTCTCTTCAATTTCTAAACTTTTCAGATAATCAAACTCTGGCTCGTGACTCTGGAAGGTGCTGTACACATTATATTCCCCACGAAGAGGCAGTCCAATCTTGCCCTAAAATAAAAACATCATAAGTGCAGTTTATATAACCACTTTATTAAAGACTACATGGTTTTTTTTACATTTAGAGAGAATCTCCTGAATCCAAAGACTGTTGTTTTTTTTGTGTGTTTTACGTCCTATTTACAGCTATGGTCCTTTAAGGACATGCCAGGTTTTGATGGTGGAGGAAAGGTGGAATTCCCGGAGAAATACCATCGACCAACAGCTAGTACCTGGCGACTGCCCCACGTAGGTCTCAAACCCGCGTGTAGGAGGGCTAGTGGTAACCGTTGCCCCTAGTGTTTTATTTTGAGCAGCATATAATATATTTCAAGAGCAGATATTGTATGCTTCTAAAAATATAGTTGACAATTTTTTAATTTGGCTTGTTCATGATTCTCAAAACTAACGAGACCAATAGCTTAAGATGCTCGCTGCAATGTCACCATTATCTGCACAGTGATTGTTTTGCTGTGTTTTACGGACTGTTTCCCCTAGCTAAAAAGTGCCTTATTTCCCCAAAATGACCAAAAACTGTGGATTATATTCCCGAATTCCAATACAAATAATGCTTTATTTCCCCAATACATAAAGGAACAGTCTGTTGCAAAAATTTAGGTAACAAAAACACTGATACATTGATTATTGATATAAAGAAATGACGTTTTACAGGGAACGATATTTAACTTTATTTTACTAAAATGAGAAAACAAATTATGACTTACAAAATCAATAGTGATGGCCTGATGATCAATTATAATCGAAAAATGATTAGTTTGTGCTTTCAGAATCTGATTATCAATTACGTATCCAACAATCGATATATATATGTATAGTGTCAAATGTATACAATGTAATATATGCATTGACAATCATTTACTCGGATAATTTGTATGTGATTGTTGAAAATGTAGAAATCACTTTGTAGAGTCCCATACAATGATAAAGCAACTGATCATCAATTGTTTCACTACATCCAATAACAAACCAATTATTGACGATGATTTTTTTTAACTTATTTGCCCATCAAAACTCATCAACCATGTTACTCCAACAATGTTAGAGGTTTTACACGGCGAAAAACTTTTGACAGGTGCCGCGTAACCTCTAACTGCCCATAGCTGATTTTCCCGATGCTGACGATCACATTTTCAAAGTTGATCACATAATACAAAAATGGATTACATGTAATGTTTCACAAGCAGAATACAAACAAACTCCGTATCATTTCGTTCCGTTTGAAACCCCCCCTGCTATTTTGTATTCATCCAGAAGCCATGTTTTAAATGTAGGTCAGAGATGTGCTACAACGACATGGACATGTATTTTGAGTGCTCTATTCCGTAATATAATATATATTTGTGTCTGTGACATACATATGAGATCTATATTATATAACCCGTGAGTAGACATCGTTGTCATGAACTGTTAACCACTTAAGTGAGTTTTTCAAGCCGATTTTGTTCCGCCCGGATTTTGGGCGGAAACTGCATCAAAGAATTAGTGCTTCGGAAATGAGAGGTCGCAGTCGGCAAAATCATATCCGATTGAAAAAAGGCCGACCAGCGGCCTCTCATGTTATGGGAGTACAACCATGTTGGAGTTATAATCTGGGTGGAAGCCCAAAACTCGAGTGGTTGGACAGGTGACCCCATACTTTTTCATGTCCACCTTCGGAACTGAATCCTTTGCTATATAGAATATAGACAGATGCCTGGCGAAAAAACTTTATTAGTCAAGAAAATATCGAATATTGTAAGATTATACACCCATGTCAGTGTAAAATTATATAAATTACTGAAAATTACAAGAAAAATGAGGGTTTAACATCCAGTTCACAGCTAGGGTCATTTAAGGACGTGCCCTAAATGTGTGTACGGTAATGTATGTAATTGCATGCGTGTGTCTGCACATAGGAGGCAGGTTATAAGGGAAGCGACACCTACATTTTTCAGAAGTTGTCCATTATGTTTGATACCTGTAAAATTGCATTACCTTATCGCGCTGGAAAATGACAACACGTCCACCTTTGTCACCTGTAGCCAGGAGGTCACCATCATTGTTAAATTCTACACAGGATATAATGTCAGCTACAAAAAACAATACAAGATAAATTAGTATTTCGATGGAAGTCGAAAAAGGGAGGAATATTTGTCTGTGCATTCTCATTCAAACATTGAGTGCAATACTACCAAGAAATTAATGTAACACAAAGTCTGTACCTATACATATATGAATGAATAACTTTTAGATTATATCACTTTCATAAAATATTAATTTTACAATTTATTATCAATATAATATAATTGACCACGAAGTTATCACATTATTTTAATTCTATATTGCAAGTCTTATTATATACGTATCTGCTATAATCGTCAAGTTTATAAAAAGCTTGTGCGAAACAAATTTTATTTCATCTCCAACAGGAGACAAATTACAATATCAGTTTCTGTAGAAATCAACAGATGAACTAAATTTCACCACTTTATCAGGAAAATGAACTAATGTGACAAAGTGATGATTAAATAACATGTCACCAGAAGGATTAGGACTGATCAAATTGCTTAAAGTACTTAAGAGGTCAGGGCAACATTTCATGATTAAAACTGATAATGTTTCTCTTAATACCGACTTTGCAAGGCCAAATCTTGGTAATTTCCATCAATGTAAAGAAACAGGAAACGAAAACCAAATCTCATTGCGATACTGTACATAGCTGTAACATGGCCAAACGAATTGGGGCTACCGGCTACTTGCGAGTTAACACGGTGAATAGATATACTTAAGGCTAAGTCATACCTGAACCACAGGTGATAATTTTAAAATATTCAGCACTATAAACTGAGTGGGAGTTGCCAAGAGTAGACCACTCAAACGCAATACAAAATATTAAAATGTATCAAACAAAATGTTCATATTATACCAGGTCTGAAATGATAATAACATCACTGGACGGATACAGTAGTTTCTCACGCATGTAATTTACTCTACTACAATAGACATGTGTTTACCTTATATCAAAATCATTATGGGATTGACCAGACATTAGGATTAAATATAGTCAACAAAATAAAATTGGCAAATACAACTTAAATGTAAGGTAATATTGCAACACGTGGTTTAGAATGTAACCAGTAAATGATCCGACACTGTTATTTCTTACAAGACATCACTGTAGTGTATTATGCATAATTTGCACATTATATATGTCGACAAATCGAAATCAATCGATAGGTAGACAACTGTACGTCTCGATACTAATCAATTTGGTCTCGTTCGATGACATGACATACGTTCTGTAACGTCTTCAGTCTCGATAGCTCCCTTCACTTGCGAAAAACACCACTGAATATCCCCACCATTGCCTGAAACGAAAAGATGATAATTGCTAAAAATAAATTACATCGTCAACATTTACACATAGTAATACGGAAATGAGATGACAAGCAAGAGCAGACTCGGATTTCATTCTTACCCGCCATCATGAGAAGAAAATATGGATCCTAGAATTAAGAATACTGTTATAAAATTGCATTCATTTCATTGGGAAGTCTACCAAAGGCTATATTACTCCTCGATGACATTGGAATGGCAGGCGGTATATCCCGCTCATTCAAATCAATATGGCGCACTATGGCCGAAAGTTCAAGGATATGACGTCAGATCGTTGGAATTTTGGGTAATATGAAAAAGAAAGTTGAGGGGGTGTGGTGAACATCGAAAAAGAAAGTAGAGCAATATGTACTAAATACATTTCAACTGCGGCATAAAACATACAACAATGATAATAATAAAGCCATTTAAAGACAGAGAAGATGTCATAAGGCTTTCTGAGCAGAACTTTGTACTATGTGCCCTTTGTCACATGCGGCTAATAAATATCACGCTAAGTACAGACGCCAGAGGGAGCGTTGTATGTGACTCGGATTTTCCCCTCATCTATTGTTTTGCCATCATGTTTAACACCACGTGACTATTGTATACTAATAACATATCTGAAGAGAATATATGAAAAAAACCATTTGCTCTACCACGGAATTAGATTAGAGCTACATATTTAGGCCCGTACGTGGCACTATACAGAGAACGTCTGCTGGATAACCGAACTACTCGGTAGTGAAGCGGACGTATAACATATCAATCAATCAATCAATCAATCAACTATACGGAGCAGTTTCCCCTCCAGTGGCGGATCCAGAGGTTTTTTGGGGGTTTCATGCCCCCCCCCCGCCCCAACAGCCTGATAATTTTCTATAAAAATCATATNCGCCACTACCCCTCCTTGTCACGACTATCTATCGAGAAACCAGTCTCTTTATGAGTCTGACTGACATTTTCTGACACCGTCACGCTTAAAATGGTATATGGCTTCAGAGGGGCTTTGCCCTAAATCCCCACCCTTAATTGGGCATTTATCCTGGACCCATACGCCAGTTTCATGTCATGGGAAACCCCTCCCGCCACGTGATATAATGCCGTATGCCATTATTTGTTGTCTGGATAAAACACAAGAGTTCATAGAGCTATATGAAACAAATCTGGCAAGCGAAAAAAATATATTGTATTTATTCTAAAATGATTTTTGCTGCTAATAAGGGTTGATCAAATAATCGGATATCACTGTAAAAAAAATCCGCATAATATTGCAGAATTTCTATTGTTTGGTGTTTAAAAATAGGATAAGTTTATTAAAAGAAAGTATTTGTATCCGCCTTTTATTTCACCATATTTTTTATTGAATGAAAAAAAATATGGTGTTTTTTTACAGTAAATTCATCATCGAATCTTCTTCGGAATTATTTAAACTAATTTAATGTCAACTTTACTTGTTTTACAATAACTATGAATCAAGTTAGTACGACTAATACCAATCACTCTTGTTGGCCTTTATGGAAGCGCGCAGGGGTCTTGATACAAGGAAACCGGAGAAACCCGAAGTGGTCAGGCAGGCGACCCAAAACCTTTTCACCTCCGATCGGCCAGTCGAACCACGGTCGAACCCCGGTCGTTTTAGTGAAGGCGAGTGCCCTATCCACTGCGCCACCCGACCACCCTTTTAATTAAAACTGCCATAACCTGGCGTATAATGACACGAGAAAGCTGTCGACGTAGTTTCTACGCCATCCAGTTGATGAAGTTGACAACCAGTAAGTTAAAGCAACTTATCCAACAAAAACGTCAAATCTTTATCTCGACCAAGTTTTGTGTCGAGAACTCGATTTCATTAGTAATGAGATTTTATACGAATTTTCAGCCGATTTTCAGCTTACAAAATGTGAACACTTTAATATCATAATTATCTCATTTCCAATAATGCATATTTACCTTATCTCTGAGAGTTTCTCTATAATCATTACCAGGAGGATATGAATCCATAGAACAATTAACGGAATTTTATCAGCATTATTTTTTTTAACTTTCTCCTCCCGCCTCGAATGACCATCCCCGATGTCTAGGGATTACCATCACTTACGCTCTATGCAGAGAGCGTAAGTGATTGTAACCCCTAGATATCGAGAATGCGAGTGACATAGACAACCGTTAGAAGCAAACATTTTGATGAAGTTAACTATACAAGAAATCTCGTTTGCACTGACGTCACAGACACTTCAATATCGAAATATCAGGGAAGATCAGTACCTAGAACAATATTATAATAACCTTAAAATTTAGATTGTAAATATAAACATTGAACGGAAAAAATGTCGTTCAATCCTTGAATGTTTTTCCTGATTTCATCAGAATGTCTTCAACGCGTCGTACTTCCTCTCTTTTATCTTCAAAGTGACGTCACAAATGCCCTGAACGTGGTATTTTGATTCTGACGTCACAATGAGTGATATATCATAGGTAATACGCAAATTGTTTGACATGGAGAGACATGTTTATAAGATACGGTTACTCTCCGAATTCATTATAAAGCATTATCTTTACAACGCAATCACAAGACTTGGATAAGAAACAAGAGATCACAGAGGGCTCATTAGTTTGATGCAAATTCTATCTTTTCTCCTCAGTTCCATCTTCTTTTCTCTTATCGCGATCACAGGGACCTGATAATTTGTTACAGCTAAAGTTTGACCTAAACAAAGGTGTTCAGAGTAATTTTACATGTTTTTATGGGTTTAGATCGACTTTCGGTAAAAATGACACCACACGGAAAGTCGATCTAAACCTCTCAAACACGTTAAATTACTCTGAACACGTTAGGTTAGGTCCATATATAGCTGTAACAAATTATCAGGTCCCTGTGACCGCGCTCAGGCTGATTGATCAATTGTCGACAGATACTGCATTTTGTGGTATCCTTTTCATTGAAACTTCATATAACTAGGTTACTCCAAAACTGTTAACGGTTGAACACAGCCAGATACGTTTGACAGTCGTAGTTTCGCAGTCAGTAAAAATCCTATCCCATAGATAAGAGGCCCAATGGACCTGTATCGTTCACATGCTATTAATCTCACACCTATTACCTAAAAAGTGGCCCGTGATCAAACATACTTAAATAGCATAAATTATGCTTCAGGATAAAAGTCCTTACCTACGAATATTGGTTATTCAAAATGACCTGTAACAAATATCTTACACATTTGACCCCGATGACCTTGAAAGTCTAACAAGTTCATTCAGTTGGTATCTCGTAATCCCAATTTACAGCACCCTATAACTTTTGGTTATTGAGAAGATTTCGCATTTAAGGATATTAACACATTTGAACCCCTTGACCTAGATAGTGGGTCAAGGTCATTCCTTTGGACAATCTTTTTTCACACATTTGACTTTTGTGACCTTGAAATTGGGATTGTAAAAACGCAGTTTGAAGCTCTTATAACCGGTAAAGTTCGAAGATAGGTAAGGTAAGACCAGGGTCCTGTTCGTTTATGCGGAACAACCGGTACGTTCGTTTTTAAATGTAACATTTTCCGGTATAAATTCTGGTGGACCTGCAAAAGTTTATACAGGTCTAAAAGCCTGAAAGCACCATAAGATTATTAGGTCTGACCTTATTTCATAACGAACCACTCTGGTCCAACCGGTTCAACCGTTTGGATCGTGATAAACGAAAACGGCCCAGATGCTATGTATATATATCTAAACGCGGACAATACACACGTGTATACAATTATCAATCACATCACGTGCGACATGGGCACACCAACATATGCACGATATACAAGCAACTACACCAGATATTACACTCAATCAACATTTATATTCTAATAGTAATTAAGAATAAATCATATATAAATTGAAATTAACATAACGAAAATTCAAATAACACAACCGTATGATTATGTATATATGGCTAGATGATGAATGCAACACTGACTTGTGTCAGTTCCCCCCGACCCCCGGGCGACAATGATATCAAGCTTACCGTCTGTGTTGGTCAATCCCATGGGGAAAGACGGACGCATGAGAGTACTTGTCAGGCGTTTGTGCAACAAATCCATGGGCCTGAGGAAGGTGACCATTGTCGAGTGTTTAGTGTAGAACAGGTAACCTAGCTATGACGTCATCACGCGCGTGCACATGCGTGACATATACAGTCCGTGACCTAGAGAATGCAAGTCTGGTTAGCTTGATAGCATCACTCGCTGTAACAGCCAGACACATACGATATATTTTAATCTGTTTTTCAAAACAATCACATGCACAATTTTTCGATACTTTAAGTTCGATATTATAAAACAGTCAGACACCCATGGGACTGCATAATTTGGCCGGTTTGTAGAGAGTTCTGATTGCAATGAGCCTTTTTGTGACGTCTCTGTCCACGGCAGCACCTATTATTGTGACTAGTTTAGAAATAAATCCGGATTGGACGGAGTCCAGTTTATACAGTATACAACATCATGCAACAAAAATAAACTTACTATTTTTTCTCCTTCCTTCAATTTTTTTTATAACATTTTCAAACATTATAACTTCTTTTAATAGCTGGTTGAATCATTATTTTTTAAATATTTTTTTCACTACCAGTACCAATAAATGTTTTAAAGAGTAATTTTTTCCAAGTAGTGTGTTTTTATTATTATAAGCGGCATTTCAGAAAACATACAAATATCTCAATTTCTAAAGCAATATTCATCAAATGTATACCTCTGATCATTTCTTCTTGATAAAGATATTAAAAACATCAATTTTAAAATGACCAAAAATTGGTTATTTCATTTTTTAGTTAAAAATACAACATTAGACCCCATCATAGTCCTAACAAATCTTAACAAAACGAATATTTTGACAACTTCAATATCAACTGAAAGAGTTATTATGTACAAATCTTACTCTGTCTCTGACAATAAGTATAGTATTTTTTCAACACATTGATGTGACACTAATTTTTTGTACAAATTATTAGTTGTGTCATTTTTGAGTTGAAAATGGTGCATAATTTAAGTTCTCTAAAATTTCTAAAACGTCCCAACGCTGTACAGGTAAGCAATCCTTGACATACATTCATCAATACGTCTATAGCAGGGACTATAAATATATCTTTCTATAAATGCTAAACGGTTTTTTTCTTTTTGTTTGTGCATGAACTGATTCATTTTTTATTTATTCAAATTAATGAAGAATGCACACACAAGAAAAACAAAGATGTCTTATGACAATGACTGGATTTGCAAATGTTTGCATTAATATTTACGATTGATGAT